TTAAATTATACCGACCAAAGCGTCCTTAGCCTTTTTTACAAGATCTTTAATTTCGCTATCTAGTGGATGATTGCACAACACTGAACAACCATATGGATATGGATTGTACAACGATGCCAATGGTTTCAATACAATTGGCGCTGGGTTGCACGATACTCCGGTAATATCAACTATGTCATCTTTCTACATTTTAAAAATTGAACAAAACAACGAATTATTTATGGATGACTGACTAAATAAAATAATCAAAACTTAGGTAAAGTAGCTATTTGAATGATTTGAATGCGTACTTTTTTTATTATAATATACGGCGTGCAATGCGTCAAAAGTTACATCGGCTTATTAAAAATATTGTGATTGAACTATGAATAAATACAAATTAAAAAAACCATAAAGTAAATAAATTATAATATTATTTAAGCACAAGTTTTTAGTTAAATACTTAAATGTTTCTGGCACAATAAAAAAAAATCTAATCTGGATAAATTTTGAAATATAAGCGGAGAGCGTTAACCGAGTAATTTATTTGTGTAAATAATAATTATAACCTTACCTGATTTATATCTTTGAAATTATCCTTCACAACACTGGCATAAAGCCCAGTCCTACTTACCATGGTTATTATTTATTATAATTTTGGGCTGTATAGTGTATAATGAGTGTTATAATTGTTATTAAATGGTAAAAAAAAATTAGTACGACCGATGGTTTTTTCTTTAACCACTTGATTTGTGTTTATTTACATAATAATTACGTTACGATTGCATAATTCTTAGGTATAGAGGTTCAGAGTTATACGCACGTTTTGTCTCTGGTTTTTTATATGACACCGTGCTTTGAACCAACTCCGTAACCCCGGCAACTTGATAGCTTTATCATTATGATAAGAATATTACACTTTTAATCGTTTACGATTTACTTGAAACAGAAACTGATTTTATAACAGTTCGCTATCGTTATACATTTTAAATAATACAAACACCTAATGAATACACATTACGACTAAAACATTTGTCTTATTATTTGTCCAATATTATGTAGGTATATTGGTATTATCATAATCGATTTTACCGGTTATGTAACTAAACAAAAATAAAGTAATCGATAACAATAATTTATAATTTAAACCATACAATAAAAAAAATGCACAGATTAAGTTCCGACTCTACCAAAATGTTGTTACGAAAATCTCGATATTATAGCAACATATCTCACCTAGCATTTTTGATTTTGAATCTCTCCTTTTTTTAAATAGCCCTCCTAAATTAACGAAAAATAACAATCGTCTGGTTCTATAATCTAAATTAAGTATTAACTAATGGTATGTAGGCACCTACGTCTTACGCGCATATCTATACCTAATTAGTAATTTGTTAAATCCCGAATGTAATCGAGATAGTCACCCATGTCCATAAAAAAGGATCATATATTTTAATAAACAATTATCGATTAATTTATATTAGGTATATCAAATATAGCAAATATGTTTGAAAAAATAATTAAAAATAAACTGGTATCATTTTTACAAAAAAATTATTTATTTTTTGAAAACCAATTTGATTTTAAACCGGGAAAAGGGGCGTATCAAGCAATATCAAAAACAACAAATATTATTTAAAATACATTATAGAAAGAAAAAAATATGTGCATCAATTTAAATTGATTTGGCTAAAGCTTATGACTTATGATACAATCAACCACGATATTCTATCGAATAAAATGAAAAACATCGGGATAACTGGATCCGTTCTAGAATTATCCACAATTTAATTCTTAGTGATAGGAAACAATCAGTTAAAATAAACAAAACAAATAGTGATGAAATGAATTTTAAATGTAGGGTACATCAAGGAACGACGATTTCACATATTTCGTTCAATATACAGTTAAATTACATAAAAAACTTACACTTAAAAAGTACATTAGTTTAGTTTGGTATGCTGTTGACAATGTTTTAATTAATTTTTTTTATAAAATACCCTTACTGTTATATTATAACCATTTTTTATTTCTACAAATGATTCATGTTTAATTGTTGATGTTTCAAGTTTATATATAATAATTTTTTACATTTTGTTTTATAGCTCACTAGATATACCTACATTTTTCTTTATATTATATAATTAATAATTTTCAAGCATTTTACATATTATATTATAATGTCATTAATAATTATACTCATGTTTATTTATAATAACCCTTAGGTCTCCATATGAGAACACTCAGAAACGCCAAGTATTTTTTTTTTAATTAATGAATGAAAAATAATAACAATATTTAGTAATAATGTTATTCATTTTCTGTACGTATGTATTTGTATTCTGTTCATAATATTATTAAGTTGTGCTTAATAAAATAAGTATGAAAAACATTTTACAATAAAGAAAGCATCTGATATTAATAAATGTTAAAATAAAAATATTATATACATCAGTGCTTCTCAATATTTTTTTACTATAACACACTAATTTAGATCCATAAAAATGGCACCACACAAAAAACTGATTGTATTTTTAAAAAAGTAATAATTATAAACCTATATGTAAATTGATAATGAGACTCTAAATCTTCACAGTTGTTTTCTTATCTGTAGTTTTTACTTTTTACCATCACACTATAACGCCATAATAATGTCATATATTTATACTTTGAACACGTATAATATAAATCAATTTTTTTGGGGACACACATCACGGTAATACGCATCACCCTAGTGCAGGGATTCCCAACCATTGTGCCACAGCACAAAAGTGTGTACCTAGTGTAATTTTTTTTTTTATTAGGTATGTATAGCTTGTGTATACCTCTTCGTGTGTGCCCTGAACATTTATTAAAAGATCAAATGCGCCGTCAAGTAAAATAGGATATGAACCCCTGCACTAGTGTGTCGCGACACACCGTTTGAGAACCACCGATATACATAATATACGTATATGTAGTGTATATGATTATTAATACTATTAATAGGCTATCAATAATATATATGTCGTAATGTTAAATTGTTTTTTAAATATTACTTTTATTACCTATTATTTATTTGGACCACATATACAAATAGTTTTAATTTTGTGTCATAAATTAGAAATTAATTAAAATTTAAGGGGGTTTTTGATCGATTGTAATTTTTAAGAGAGAAAGAGAATTTATTACAGTATTAAATCGATCAAAAATGGTTGTATATTTTGTCCATTTTTACCCAATTTATATTTTATAGTGATTATTTTATATGGTTCAGTAAGAACATAACAAATATAAATATTGAATAAACAATGACACCTTACAAGTAAAAATTCATTTTTAGGAATGTAGGTATTTATATTGATACTATACAATATATTACATATTATGTTGTCCTTTTGAGATAGAAAGGATCAAGTCGTCCAGGAGTTACATAGAAGAGTTAATTTTTATTTTGTTAATAGATTTGTAAGCTCAAAGAAATCGTACAGATAATGTAACAGCTTTGTAGAATATTTAGTTTAAGCGGTATCTATAAGAAATTTCAGAGTTCGAACTTCCAGACAGTTTTCATTCTTCACCCCTACCTATTAATAGTATCGTACTAATTGTCACAGGCCACATCATTGTTGTAGACTGTAGTTAATTATATAATATTCAGACGAATAATTACTATCACAAAATAATACTGTAAACAAATATATTAATTCACAACATTTTGTTTAGTTATAACTTATAACTTATAAATAATAATAATATTTTAATTAATAGTATTGAACCAAATGGGTAGGTATCGATGTTGTAGAATAATTACGTAATGAATTGGCCGAAAGGGAAATATAATATGCTTGGTTATACATTTCGACTAACAGGGGTTCTGCTCTTTTTTCTTTGTATTAAACATATAATGAAGTACGCAAGGAAATGTGTAAGTACGTATGTATATTGTATGATGTATATACTATGTTATAAAAAAACTTTAATTTATTTAATTTTGAAATATTTTTATCCAATAGATAAATTCGATAACATTAGTTAGTTGAACGAAAAAAAGTATTTTTAAATAGTTATGATTATGACTACTAGCTAATATATCATGAACTGTGTATATATAGTTGGTATAGAAACCATTCATTTTTTAATGATCATTAGTTGTGTATTAAAATGTATTCAATTAAAAAAAATACTAACAACATGTAAACAAGGTACCTAAAAACACATTAATCATTGTTACCTTATTTGATTAATAAAATGGTTATCAAGATATCTAATACACTTGCATAGTTGCATGATGTGTTATTGTGAAGATATTGTATCGAAACTAGAGTTATATTTTTTATTTGAGGAATTTATTATAATTGAATGAATTATGTACTTATGTATTGTTTTTGACACTTTATAATATTATAGCCGTAAAACAATAATGTTATTATTATTAAAAGAAATCATTGGATAAAAAATAATTAATTATAGGTACCTATATCAACCATATAAACAGGGCTACTTATTTTTAATTTTACATTTATTTATTGGTTAACTATTATGTTGTATAAGTGATCGTATTTTCATTTTAATAATATAATTATAACATTAAAATTTATAATCGATGTAGCACGCACGTGTAGAAACAATAATTATTCTAGGTATAGGTAAAATATTATAATAATATACTGTTGATAAATAATGATATATAATAATAAAATAAACGATAAAACAATAACTCTTAATTTAGCAATGCTCTTCATTAATCAGATCGAGAGTAATATACAATTAGGCATTTTGTTCGTGTTGTACACTGAACTATAATATCGTAAGCAAGTGAAAACCACGTAGTGCTGAGTGCGTTGGTTATAAGGGCGGTGGGAGATGGTGGGTCGGACGGAGTGCATCTGTACCATCGATATACACATTTCATAACAATATAAGAACCGGTGTTTTGAGGTCGCCGAGTGTAGTTCACAATTATCATTTGTCGAGTGCACTTCGGCCTAGACACGGGTTTATATTTTGTTTGATTAAACAGTCCGAGTAAATCAGCCGAGATGGTGGACGAGAGGAGTAGCTTGACAAAAGTAGCCGGCAAGACCAAGGGAGTGTTTCGAAACGCCAAGTACGGGTCGACTAACGACCAGAAACAAGTCATCGACACCAAACAGAAATACCGGAAATTAAAGTGAGTTTTGAGCGGTATTTCTTGTGTTTTGTTTATGCAGATTTCGACGCTTTTTTATGCTACTTCGTATACACACGTGTTTGTTTGGGCTAATATACTAATATAATATAGTTTTGTAAAAGAATAGACATTTATTTTTCTCTTTTATCAACAGCTTTATCTTGAGCCGAAAAAAAGTGATAGCTTTAGAAAACAGTTTAAAAATACCATTTGTAATTATTGTAAATTAGTTTTAAATCTGAAATTTTTCTAAATTAAATTTCAATCATCTAACATGTTTAGTTATTATAGTAAGAAATAGCCGATACAATGATTTGTTTAATACATTTTAAATATTAAGACATAGAGACAATAAAGTTTTCTTTTAAGTAGGTATCAACTAGATAATTATTAAATATTTTAATTCTTTAAATATTTTATTTTAAATGTTAATTATGTTTTTTATTTTAGTATTTGACGAACTTTATATTTTTAGAATTATCTTGTTTTCATATTTTTATATTTGTACATATCTATAAGTGCACTTTTTCAGTTTACAATTTTCCGGGTTTAAAATTTTCAAAGGCTGTATGGAACAATTTTGATGTGGAATTAAGCACATATTTTTATAGAAACGTTTCTAAAATTTCTGAAAACAAGTTTTTATAACGAAACGTTAACAAACTATATTGATTCATAAGTATAAATATTAAATAGGTACTACAGGAATATTATTAAATAAAAATCATTGCTTATACAAATTGAAAGATATCCGTTTTAGAGAACCATCCAATTTATTTATCATATTTTATTATCACTAGGTTAATGATACATTATATTAAGTATACAGTTTTATACTTATTTTACTATAAAAATATTAAATAAGTACTCTTTAATTTTTGTAACAGAAAAAGTAAAAATGATTTGTTTTTTCATCAGTTCATGATCACGGTGATATTTTATCAAGTATTAATAAGCTGATTTATTCTATACCTAATACCTATGACTTTATTTTATTATTGTACTTGAAATTTTAATTTTAAATTCAAATTATTATACAATGTTATATTCAGATACAAATTGAATATTTGATCACAGTAAATAATTAAGTAATTTAGTTTCAAATTAGTTTTTATCATTTAATGTGCCTACTTTTGTTTTAAAATGTAACCTATTAAATTGTATATTAAATATACATATTTATATAATTTTTTGTAAGGCACCTACATAATATTGTATAATATGCGTATTAAATATTATACTACTATAGTACCTACTATGCATAAAATACATAGGATATTGTGGCGTTGCATCTTAACAACCTGCATTGTTAATCCCTATCGTTTAATTTTAAAATGTTATAGTCACTCCCTTACATGACCTTAACTCCAGATCATGAGGAAACCTATGAAAAACATTTAAACAAAATTCGTTGCGTAACATTTTTAATACGCACTACATAAAGTAGTGAATTACACAAGAATTAGTTTTGATCCAATTTTTTCTTAAGATTCGTTGTTTTATCTAAGTTATATTAAAAAAAAAGTTATTTTACGATATGCACAGTGGTGTATAATAATTAATGTTTGCCTATATATATAATTTAAAATAATTATGTAATACACCACTGTGATAAATGACACATTTAAGTAGGGCTAAATTATATTTTCTCGTGTTGACTGTCGAATATATACATACATTAAATCGACTTTATATAATAATGTTCTAAAATAAGTTCTGAGGTTCTGTTGCGCTGAATGGTCTCTTCTTCATGTGTTTCAAGTCATTGTTCTGAATTTTCTGTCATATCTATGTTACTTATTGTATATTTATGATTTATGTATAACAGATTGTAACAAATATTTTAATAAAACAAAAACGAATTTTTATATTAAAATTACCTAAGTAATTTTTTGTTAATAGTGAGGCCTAAAAGTAAAAAGGAAAAATAATATTTTCTTAACTAATATTTTATGATATATTAGGTACTTATAAAATTATATAAAGTTTTAGGAAATATAGTTTCTATTTTTTCATTTATTATAATATAAAATATTACCGTAAGTGTACTTGGAAAAAAGTTATGAAGGTATTTATTATATGTTTGTTTAATGTTTTTATTGTGTATAAACCGGATGTGAAACGATTGTTAGCTAAATTGTTAACGGACGTAAAATTAGGTTCAATGAACAAAGTTATATTGGTAAAATAATTTATTATTCTGTCTATTAAAAAATCGCATCCTCTAACCCACTTTATGTTAAGATACTTTTGGTATATTTCCATTCTTTAGGTGGACCACTATGAATATTGCTAGTTGTGACATGCAAAGTACCTATATTAAATTGTGCTTACTGGAGTACAATTTAAGGAAAATACTCTGGGGAAACTTTTCAGTTTTTAGATTGGTTAAGTATACTTAATGCATATTTAATCAACGTTTTTATCTAATTACATTTATTTATTTATTCATATAACACATTTAAATAAATCGTTATAGATAATAATTATAATAACCCTTAGGCAGTACCAATATGGGAATTGTGGAAATAAATAAATGGATGTACCTATAGGTATCTTTATATTTAAATTGTTAAATTATAATAATGTGGTAATTTATTTACAGCATATTATAATTAATACCTATATTATGTTGTGTACTTTTGAACAATTATTACAATACAAACAATAATAAACAGGTTTATTTGCATATCGTGCGTTGTAAAATAAAATTTAAAAAATATGTTTTCATTTGATCTTATAAAAATGAATTATTATTTAAATTTTATTGAGTTTATTGTAGTTAAGATAACACGAATAAGTATCTATTAATTATGTTATCAGATATCATACTGTATACGTAATTATAAAAATATGAATTTGCTGTGAACGTTTAAGTTTTTGTTTTTAAATATTATGCTTTGTTTAAAAAATAAATTACATTCGAGAAAAAAATGTAAAGAACAATTCACAGAAAATATTGTAATTTTATTGTTATATTTATTTGTACTACCGCAGGCTTGTGACTATGGTGATTCATTATTAATACTATTGTTTTATTTTGTATTAAAAAAGAAACATAGATGGTCTGAAAACGACCTTGAAAATTGTTTTTCTCGTTTTCATTCAAACAAACGTATCGAATTTTCTTTTGATTGCAATATTAATAGTAATATAAAATATAATAATGATATTAATATTATGTTATGTGCGTCATAATGTTAAAAATATTATAATATATTAATTGACTTTATAAACTATAAAGTATATAAACTAAAATATTTTTTCATTTATGAGCGTTATAATATAACACTAATATTTTTGGTTATTTATTAAATTGTTATTTTTATAAAATATATTTAACAGTGTGAAAAAAAATATTTAAAATATTAGGTAGGCACTTTAATAATAAATTATTTTATTTTATGTTGTTATAATATTAGGTACTTTCCTATATTTGAATTGTTCCGGTATTTCGAATACACCTTATGATTTAATATACTATTATATAATGTATATAATATATCTTATACAGAGACATTTATTGAAGATAACAAACAATTTTTTTTATTGAAATAAACTAAATTTGAGTAAATATGATAAAATTTTATGCATATTAAAAATATAATGAAACATTTGAGTACATAATATTATTTTCCAGTTATATTGGATTTGAAACTAATGGCTAATAAGTAATGATTAATAAAGGTTAGAATGTTTATGATTTGCATGTTTTTTTGGTTGTCCTATTGCATGTATTCCAGATATTTGATTCATGATGTCTAGAATCAAATGTTAATATTTTATTTCGCATATATTCCGAAATTTAGTATAAAGTGCATATTTTGGCGACACAAAATAAAAAAATAAAAACGCAAGCAACTAAAATTGTATCTATATATCTATCCATATATTATGATTTATGATTATACAAAAGTTATCGCAAATTTATTGTTAGGAATTCTATATTGATATTCGGAGATATACATAGAATGTTTGATAGAGCTTGTTATTACATATATATTTTACTCTACTTCTTTAATTTTAATTAAATTATAATAATATAAAAATGTTTAATGCATATTTATTAATTTGTTCATAAATATTTAGCTATTTTTAGTGCAGAAGCATCCTTCCCAAATGGCTAAGTTTAATGACCATTGTAAAACATTCTATACATTTAATAATGTTACTAAAAACTAAAAAGTGATATAATTAAATAAATACATTTTGTCACTGAATTATATAAACATAATACTGTTGCTAAAATTATTTTGTTTCGTAATTGATTAAATAAATATATAAAAATATTATGCGATCAATTATTTTAATGTTGTAAAAATAAAAAATTAAAATTGTATTAAAATTAATCTTATTTTGAAAAATTCTAAATTCAAAATAAAGACATTTTGTTTGCTGTCAATTGACAATTAATATCAACTATTTCTTTTTAAAAAATTATAAGTACTATTATTATTATTTGCTTCTAGAACTTTAATAAAATCACCAAAACAAATTTGTAAAATTATATTGGGGAAAAAGTTGCATAATAATTGTAGGTACCTGTGATACAAACTGATAAGTTTAATACATTGATTTATTATATCTACATAATATGTACTAATTACACGAATCGTGGATACATTGGTATAAACAGTATAATTATGATTTTCTATGAATTAAAATGGGATCAATGTTCAAAAAGGTTTAATCTTGTATTCTCGTTAATACGTTGTACATAATATTATGTATGATCTCACTACCTATATTATCCTATTAGGCGTTTATCTTTTAATATTTTGCTCCCATTAAGAAGTAACGGAAATGTGTAGAAATTAATCCGTGATTGTATCTATGATATTATGTTATATTTGTTTTATATATTTTGTGTGACTTAGGTAGAAACCTAGTATTTTAGGGATTGTTGATTTTGCTTTTGTATTTGTGTCTTGTCCCTACATTGTTAAGTAATTGTACATTTGTACCTATTTAATAAAATGTAAATGTAATAAAAAATGGATTGTGATGATTAAAAGCTTATAATATCAGGGATTTGCGCTAGAACTAACCCTATACCCGCACCGTTACAGTAGTAATATCTACCCAAAATAATGACGATACCCAATAAAATCTGAAATTAAGAACCCCATACGAAAAATTAATTACTGGTTTTAATGTGAACTCTTTTCCCATGCCAAGATTTAAAAACTGTGTTATAAATATATAGAGGCTATTGACATAAAGTCTATTAACTCAATAACTATAGGTACTATGGTACTTCTTAAATGTAATACAATTTTTTTTAAAATAATATTCGGGGCAGTATTAATTTGAAACAGTCTATCACCGCATAACACTCCTTCAGTGGTATAAAAAATCAAGATTTTAATAAATTGTTTATTAATTATTAAAATAGGGTGAACATGCTTATAGACGCTTGGTGTATCACACTGTATAATGATTAGAATGTATATAGGTTGTAGGTATACACATATATTGTTGTAATAGTTATATAAGAAAACACAAAGCACGACTTGGGCGATAACATTTTTTTATCCCAATGTCGGTTAGTACTTAATATACAGCTTAATTCTAAATATATAATTAGAGATCATAATTTATTTTTGTTATCGACTTTAAATCCGAACGCTTTAATTGAAAGGTAGCTATTGAAATAGTTATATTTTAAGAACTGAAAAATAAAAGCGAATATTATTATTCATTTCATCATTTCTAACGACAATTTGATATTTTTGAACACGACCAATGAATTTAATATAGTTAAATAAAATTAACCTCCTAGTACGCAGTTACTTATTATTGTTTCAACTTTTAACATTGTTAATTGCACTTTTTACTATACATGTTAACATTTTATTACAGTGTAATTATACTTAGGTTAAATACAGTGATAAATATAAAATATTTGTCGTCAGTTTAGGATTGTTTTAACTCAAGTATGGCAAATATACAAAGCTGGGCATTATCGAGTTAAAAAGTTAATTTTATTTTAACTTATTAACTTAATTAGTTACTTTTGGCTTTTCATTAACTTAACCGTTAACTTACTAAAATTCTTTTTCAATTAACGTGAAATAAACGAGTTGATTTTTCATTTTAAGAAGTAAGTTGAGTTAATTTATTTTGTTTTTAATTTAATTATATTTCACTATTTCAGTCTATTTCTTTTTCATGTCAAAAAAAAAGTATTGTGAATTGTTTAAAGTTAAAAATGTTTATCATTTGAATCTAACTTATATGGAAATACTATACACAGTATAAACACTATATTCTATAATTTAGTTTAGGGTTGGAAAAAAATTAAGTACGCTAGCGTTGTATAAACAAATTAACTTTTTTTTAACTTAATAAAAAGTTAACAAAAAGTGTGCATTAACTTTTAACTTAACTGAGTTAACCTATACTTAAATTAACTTTTAAATTTTAACTTTTTGTTATTGGTGCATATTAACTTAACTTAACTCAGTTATAAAAAATCATTAACTTGCCCATCCTTGCAAATATATATAACTATAATATATATATATATTATTTAATACTATTTAAAGTTTGAATTATTGAGATTTTCATGTAAGTAATTAGGCAAGTAGATACTCATCGTATAGTTGTAATTTAATAGTTAAAGATCCATTTATAAAACTAAAACTTCCGATTAAGTGTTAATAATTAATTATACTGCTCTATTGTTGATATTTGACTGACAAATAAATTAAAACAATTGTCATTATACCATTTAACCACAATCGTTAGTTAAATTGATAATAAATTAAGATATATATATATATTAATTTTTCATCAAACGATCTTAGCGACTGACAAAAATTAAAGTACTTCTAGTGGTTCCATTTAAAAAATGTAAAGATTTTTTAATTGGTCGACTTTGCATCGGTCCGTACATATTTTTTATATTTTAGATATTTTTGAATATAATATTCAATATTAAAAATTTAAAAATTCATAAAATGTAAAATATTTATTCTTGTTAAGAATTCGCTAAAATTGAAAAAGTGCTCCGACCGATGCAATGTAAACTTGTTTACCAACACAAACATCTTTACATTTTTTAAATCGAACCACTAGAAGTTCCATCATTTTTGTCAGTGCGACGGCTATTTCACGTCCATACATTTTTTTGAATATTTTGATCTAATGACTTTATTGACTTGTGCATGTGAGTGCGTGCGACTATAAACCAGATAAGAAATAATAATCAATTGCAAATTTATGTGGGTCGCGGGTGATGGTAGGGGAGTATACACACACTAATGATCATTTACTACACACTCAAAGACGATCAGTAATCGCAGGAACGAAATAATTGCGTAAACACAACTCTTTAAAAATGACATATTTGCAGGGGCCTTAACAGTAGGTTCAACGCTAATTTAAAAATACTAATTTAGTCGTCAGTTGAAATGATTGCAAAACATAAATTCCCGTGGGCTGCAATGATAATCACAATTAAAACATTCTTTAGCTATGTACAACAATAATTTTATGTTCAAATTTGTATGAGTCGAATACGTACCAAATACGTTATAATCTAGATAGGTATTGGCAGGGGTTAAATTGGGGGGACGCAGGGGGACTCAGTCCCCCTATCGCTAAAGGTGGTGATAAAGGGTCTCCTTTAACAAATTACGATTTTATACATTAGACATTATACATAAAATTATATATGGAACGCTTAAGACTATATGGAGATATTAGTTCCCTCTGGAATTTTTTCCCACTTTGCCCTGGGTATAGGTACTAGATGTACTTGTAATACGTTATATAATTATACCAATACCACCTAGGTATTAATGCTACAATTTGTGATTCGTCCCATTTTCCTTTTAGAAACTTAGAAAAGCTGTTAAAGCCATTCCTATCAATTATAATTTTATCAAATGCAAAATTATTAAGCTAACATATTATTATACAGCTTTTTCGGTGAAAATTATAAATATAAAATGCATTTGAATGCACTGTCGCACTGGGAAATCATCACTGATGCAACAAATGACGCATGGCACATGGGCTAAAATAAAATAATTATTATTTGGGATGTTTGGATTTTCATGGTTAGGCGATCGTGTGATTTTTATGTTTCAGTGAAGATGATATGTATTATAATTATGAGGCGGATTTGATGTTAGACTCAGTAAATCATAGGTACAAGAAAATCGTGTTCACAACATATGCCATGGGCATGGCTATGACCATTATTGGATGTTTATTGGTGCTTTGAGTATAATCTAACATTCAAATAGAACTGTATACGAACAATAAATTATACTGTAATATGACGTCTATGAAAAATGTTGACATTTAATTTTTAATTTTTAAGAGATGTAACATACCTATTATAATATAATATGACAATGTTTCTTATGTATTAGGTAAAACGAGAAAAGCGAGGTATATTCGTGATACATTAACAAAATATATCATTGCATTTTCAGTTTTGGTAATTATTAGACCAACGTATTCTACTCACCCAATAAATGTACGTCAATAAATAGTGGCACAGGCACCACAGCTGGTAACATTAGACACTTTACTTATTTTGAGGTTCTTTATAAAATTATTAAGAATTATATTTAATATAGTTTATATTACGATTAACTATATCACGAATATACCTCACTTTAACCATCATATATGAAATATTTTACGTTATTCCATACGTAACTTTTAGCTGTCTAGAATGCCAAAAAAAATTGTGTGATTAAAATATTTTTCTACACTTGTTTCCTAATGTTATTTGTACATGCCATGTGCCATTTTTTTTAACTTTTGTTTAATTCATTAAATTAAATTTGATTATTTATTATATATTTTTTTTAATAAATTGTATTTATTTTGTTTATAACATTTAGTAGTTTGTTTTTTGCTTTTGCTAATTGCACCAAGTTATATATTGATGATCCCTATATTATTTATATCCAGTGCTTTGTTACGGTTTATAGCCGCCTAGAAACAAAACAATAACGTCTCTATGATTTATGTTAGTATGTGACGATGGTAGGAAAATAGTGAAACTATTGGAAGTATAATTGATGTAGGTAGTTCTTCAATAAAATTTAATATAAAATAAATTGATTATCTACACTCAATTCGTCTCATAGCAATGTTAGCCCAGTGAAATTGCTATATTTACATGGCACTGATTATATTTAACAGTATACTCGTATACAGCATTACAGCTAGTTCTATATAGGTGCAACATCATAATTATTGATTATTAATTAAAAATATTGTGAACTATTTTTGTTCATACAAAAACTATGAACCAAAAACAATATTTAAATGTAAACATTATTATAATAATATGCTGTAATAATTTATTACTTATAACCAAAAGTAATAACAACATATAGGTAGAAGTTAAGATTTTTTTTTGAAATACATTGTTATGTAACAGTATATAATATTATAATAGGTATGATTTTACTGATGTAAACGTTCAAATTCTTGAAATACAAATTTATTAGCCATACAAATCGTGTTTTTATTTTCATTGCTTCGTACATTTAATATTAAAATTGCATTAGGCTAATCTTAAAAAATTAACACATATAACCGTTATAATAATGCCAAATCAAATAACTAATTAAATATAGCTTTAATAAATTGTCATAATAAAATACCTATACAATATATTTACTTATGTCTGTGTAGTTTGTATTGTAAGACATAATTGCTTGTTTTCAGAATGTTATAATAAAATAATAAATGATCAATTCAAGCCAAATTGATTAAATTTTGTAGTTTAATGAGTTAATATGGATAGTTTAATGTCAAATTTACAAAAAAATGTAGGTATACAGTTTTTGTTACAATATAATATTAGTAGATAGGTAGGTACTACTTCATATTCATAAATTCAGTCAACTGTCCCATCGATCATCAATGTCATAATATCAAACTATAATGTTATCCTTGAACATGAAAAATCAAAATACGAACATTTATTAGCCTTGAATTGGACATAGTTACAATGCACCGTAGAAATATTGTGTATTGGATGTATAGGATATTGATAATTAGTGGTGCAGTATATTGTGTGGTTGACCACATTTTCTCGCTCATAATATTACATTATTATATGTGTTCAACGTGTAGGTTATCTTTAGTTCAAAAGATCATTTTTTATAATATTATTATGTATTGAATCTATAGTAGCTATGTATTATATTTATTATGTTCTTTTTTAGTTTCTAATATCGTAAATTATTATTATTTGTTGCAAACATTCAAATTTAAAACATCTATTCGAGTGGATCAAACTATAAGGTTTCTTCTATTAATACATTGAAGGCTACAAAATATATGTTTTCACCTACAGCTATATATATTTTGTTATTTGATAGCACTGGAAGTAATTAAAGATTAAAAACAAAACTAACATCGAGCTAACTTTGATATTTGTGGCTTAAGATTGTATTACGTCTATAGAACAATGTGATCTGATAGAGCGAAAAAAATCATTCGAGGTTCCTCATGTAGATATTTTGTATTAATAATATTGCCGTTGACATATTTTATAAGCGTTTAAAAATTAAAATAAGTACCTATGTTCTTCCGTTTGTTTTTGCTTATTTGAATCTATGTGTATATTTAATTGTAAAAAATATCAAATATACGAGCTCTTAGCTTTCAGAATTAATGTGTTTTATATCTATTCATTAAAAATTTGTATAGTGTATACAATATAATATGCAACGTATAGATATGCATGATGTATTATTTGGTTTTAGATTCTTAAAGAAGCTGTGGAGGTGGAGGTCGAGTTCAGGAAGAAACCAATGAAGAATTATTAGAAGAAGGTCCAAATATTGATCAGAAAAAAGTGACGTTAGTCACATACGCACTTTGTTTTATTATGATGCTGGCTGGTCTGTCAGTAAAAATGGATTGATCTCAGATCGTCTATTATAAAAATTCATATTTTTTTAATACACATATTATATAATAAATATGTGTGCGAACACCAAGGCTGATTTTAGCCGGGGGTGAATTTTAGTTATGATATTATTTTGATGCTTTTTAAGTGGCCGTATAGCTCGATATTGTTGTTGTGTTGTGTTGTAATAGTGTGCTACCTATGTAATAAATCAGTGAACTGTGAACCACGATAATATTATTATACTACGCAATTATTACTATAATAGTTATTTGATATGATACATTTTCCAAAATTCCTGTTAGGCATATCACATACTATTAGTTTTTTGACTTTAAACTATAATTATTGAATCTCTAATTAAATTCTAATTTCCAAAAATGCAACAACATAATTGTACGGTGTACCCCAACTTGTTATCAAAATCAATTAATTGCGTGTTATTAACATTTAGTTACTTCTTCTGTTTTTATAAAAAAACACGATTTCAACAACGATTTTAGCAAATAATATTCCATCTTATGCTAGACAGGTTTTATCTTATCAGTTACCAAGTTTTCCACTTCATTACATACTTCAATAGTATGTTAGACCTTTTTTTTGGACACACGATTCGTGTTTTCAGTAGTCACCCTTAAATATTAACTGGATAATGATAGTGGACTAAAATAGATCTTAATAATATACCTACGGTTATTATTGTTATTATTGTAAATATATAATTCTTAATTAATGCTATTATGGAAACTCGTTTAAGAACACTTATTAAATGATAATTTATATATTAATTGTCTATTTATTTTTAACTATTATAATTAGTACATAGATTTACCTAACATTACTATAATAATGAGAAAAGAGATACACGAATATACGATTATAAATATATAACAGTTAATAAGACATTTATTATATTATTTGTATACCTAATAATTAATATAATATAATTATTTTGTTGTATACTTGTATTATTTAATTGTGATATTAAAAAATCACAAATTTTAATATTTGTTTTAATAATTTATACTTAAACATGTATTTGCTGTTTAATGAATTATCTAAAGAAAAATTTTTTTTTTAATTGTGAATTATTTTGTTATTTTGTATTTTAATTTTTACCATGTAGGTAATACCTATTGTTATTGTAATTGAACATTGTAAAATTAAATGAATAAAATTAAATGCATATTAATAAATAAAACGAATAGAAGATATTCATTTAGGTTGGATTGTTTTCGAAAATGATTTTTTTTTTAAGTGCTCAATACAATAGAAATATACTGAAATATATTAAAGTTATACTTTAAAAGGCAATGAAAATACATTTGCATTAAAATTATGATAATTTTTAATTTAAATGTAATTATTTAATTTTCGTTGTATTAATTTAGTTATATAATAGAATTATTTCTTAGTAAAAAATCGAATGTATTTATTACTTCAGAATTCAGATGTACTTCTATGTACAGTAAGTGTATACCTATTAATCATTTATTAATTACTACTCTGTATTGTTGTTTTAATTTAATTTAATATTTAGTTTTAAATCTCAGTAGGTATATTACTTATTTTTGAAATATTGTTGATATGGATGCACTAATCTTAGAAGAAGTAAGCAATAAGAAATATTATTTTAGCAAATAAACAAAAAAAAAATGGGTAAGTGAATACCATTCTGCTGTACAGTAAGTGTCGAGTGGGCCACTGTAATGGATGTGTTAAATTTGAATTCAATAATATGAAATCATTGAATATAGAAAATGATTCTGAGTGAAGACGGTCTGTCAGTCTGTTAAGTATTATTAAGTTTATTTTATGATATTATTACTTTTAAAGTAATTTATTTTACTATCGTACATTAGTAATACAGTAGGTTGAATTAAATTTTGCGAACAAATTGCATTTGCAAATGTCATTGGTTGAGTAAAATATAATAGTAAAAATATTTACTTTTAAAGTTTCAAGTACGAATGAATAATATTTTTAAATTACAACAAAATACCTCAAATCGTTATTCATCATTTAAGTATCTAAATTCGTCCTAATTTGAACTTGAAGTATCTATAAAAAAAATAAATATATTTTAGATGTTTTATTTACAGTACGAACTACTAATGAGAAACCTAATATTTTTAAATTTTCAATCCTTATAGCTATACAAATTGATCATACTATTTTTTTTGTAAACATGCTTTTGAAAACTACTTAGGTATTGAGAATTAAAATGCATCAACTAGATTCACTTTCCCACCAATGATTCTGAAGTTAAAAATCGAAGAATTTTTTTGATTACTTATCGTGTACACATACAAAAAAAATACACACACATCGTCGTGTAATCA